AACCCACACACATTTGGTGACAGAAGTGTCAGAAGTGAAGTGTTCTGTGTAAAAGTAAAGGAGAAAGACAGAGGAGGGCAGAACTGGGGTTTTCCCTACTCAGGAAGACTACTCGGTTTTTCCAAAACAGAGAGAAAGGAAAAAAGAAATACTTTGTATTATACACAATATCTACAAAAAAGAATTTATAAATGGCAGGCAGAGCAAATAAATTATTAGGATGAACCCAATGCTGTAACTAAAGAGGTCATAAATATTCTTATGATAGGGTATGTTAATTCTGTTGTTCTATCTTACTGAAATGTATATAAAAATTTTCCCCAAATTATTTCTGCCTTGACCCCTTTTCCCGGTTTTTCCCCTGAAGTCTTAAGTTCCTTCTTTATAAATTCTTCCTGCATAGGAGATTTGGGGCCACTACTGCCCATGGTTGGGAAAGAACTGCTGGCTGTTAAATGTGAGCTGAAGTTCTAACGTGTGTGGGTGCAGAATGGCCCCGGAGAGCTGCCTCGGCCCTCCACTTTCCTCTTCCGTGAGGACACAGTTGTCAGTGTCACTGGGAGCTTTTATACCAGAAGGGCAGGTGTGGCGGTCAAAGGCACTTTCCTTCTTTTCCTTGACCGCTAAGAGTCATGCAGGAAAAACAAGAGAGTGAATTTTAAATCCTTTTAGTGTGATTCGTACAGAAGTCGCATCAGTTGGAATCAAAACAGGGAGGTAAATTGTTAAGTCCCAGTGCCAATGCTGCCACCATTGTCACAGACGACCCTGTGAGTGGCCTCTGACGTGGAATTGAGAGCTGAGGAACCAGCACAGTCTCTTACTTGCCCACGGCCATATGTGGGGAAGTGGCAGAACCTTTGAATCTGACTGTGCCCCTCCGATGTTCTCTCCTGTCCTTTAGACTGGTGTGTGGACCAAGGCCGCTGGGGAAGGTGGACGTCGGTGTTCGACACCTGGGGAATTCAATAATTCCCGGCTTCCTTGTGAGAAAGTCCCTCTTCAGTTCTCTTTCATCTTTCTGATTAGTAAAAAGCAAGGTCTTGATTAGGCTTGTACATGCCGATGACACTCTCCAATGAAGACAGTCAAGCTCGCTGTCTTCCTTCTTAACAAAGGCAACCTCATGTCCCTAGAGGTTAACCACTTGGCTGTGTTTTCCTTCATTATATTTGTAAGGTTGGCTTAAATTTGTGGCAAGCATTCATTTTCCGTTTAAAATAAATGAAGTTTAAAACATGAGTTGATTTAAAGAAGATATTAAGTAAATAACAGAGCATGTGCGGCATAGATATGGCAAAGTCATAGTGTCAGTGATGTGGCCATAAATGAGGTTGGGGACACCCAGGGAAGAGCCCTGGGGGGAGAGCTGGGTGTCGATGTGGCCCCTTCCCTCCCCTGCTCTTCCTCCAGCGTGCCCACCACACCTGCCTGTTCAGGCTCCTTTCACACCAGCCTGATGCTTCGCTTCTGGGTTTCAGCTTCCCGTGATTGGCCGGGAGAAAGACTGGCCCAGGTGGTCCCCGAGGGTCCTTTCCCGCTCTCAGAGACAGTCGTTCTATGGATGGCTATTTTTGCTTTGTATTTAAGCACCAGGGCCAGGCCTGTTGGGAAAGGCCATTAAGGACAATCAAATCTACAAAGATGAAAATACAGGTCCCCACCCACATGCCACCTTCTTTAAAAGCGTTTGGCAAGTCCAAAATGTCAGCAGTTAGTAACTGGGCCCAATCACTATAACGAGATTTGCACTCAGCGGTAAAGGAGAAATTCTCCCGCTGGCTAATCTGGTTAATGGAGCAGTTAAAAGTTATACACGCTGAAAAATATTCCGTTGAGGTCATTATAAGCACAAATAAAATGGACTCTGCTAGCAAGTAACAGTAGTGGGTCACACGTGTATCTTTCTGCTTTGCTGTTTGAAGAAAATTTTTTCGACTTCTTTGGAAATAGATGCCACTGACCTAATGCTGTGTTCTGGGTTTTGAAGGCAAATAAGGTGGAGGTTATGTTCAGGCAGGGAAAGTCCAATGATGGGTTGAGTAACTATGTAGAAACTGCTACATATGTACAGATATTTCCAGATAATCTAGGCAAGGTTAAGTGGGGAGAAAAAGCACACTACACAGCTTTTCTAAACAATAGCATTTTTTTTTTCCTGGTCTGTTTTTAATTGGCTGGTTTTGGTCAGAGAGGCCATGAGGCATGCTTGTTGAGGGCACAGACCCTGGGGTCTGAATCAGCCTTTGAACTTACAAGCTGTGTGACCTTGAGCAAGTTACTTAGCCTCTCTGTGCCTCAGTTTCCTCAGCAGTAAAATGGAGGTATTAATAGTATCCACTTGATAGAATTGTTGTGAAGATTAAATGAATTAGTACATTACAGTGCTTAGAACGCTTGGCATATAGCAAATGCTTTACCTGTGAGCTATATTATTATTATAGTTATTTGTAATTGGAGGTTCCCATGACCCCCTCCTCAGGTTCTATTAATTTGCTAGAACAGCTCACAGAACTCAGGGAAACACTTACTTATGTTTACCAGGTTACTAAAGGATATGATAAAGGATACAGATGAACAGCCAGATGAGGAGATACATAGGGTGAGGTCTGGGAGCGTCCCGAGTGCCGGAGCTTCTGTGCCCGTGGAGCTGGGTGAGTCACCCTCCCAGCACAGAAAAAAGATGCAAACAAATGGAAAGACATTCCTTGTTCTTGGATAGAATAACAACATCATAAAGATGCCAGTTTTCCTTAAATTAATTTATGAAGTTGAAACAATCCCAATAAAAATAGCAACAAGCTTCTTCGTGGGGTTAGACAATTGATACTAAAGCTCTTAATTTTAAAAATGCAAGAATAGTATTTAATGTCTGGTGAGGCAAGAATGGCTCACCAGACATTAAAGCATACCTTTTTAGACAGTGTGGTACTGGCACGGAAATAGACTAACAGACCAGTGGAAAAGAACAGACAGTCCAAAAATAGACCCAGGCACATCTAGGAGTTTGGTATTTGATAAAGGTGGCATCTCAAATCACTGCGCAAAGATGGACTTTTTAACAAATAGCCCTGGACAACTTGTTAGTTGTTTGGGAAAAGATACACTAAATCCACAGCTTACACCTTACCCAAGAACAGATTCCAAAGGGATCAGGGATCTCAATGTAAAAAACAGAACCATACGACTACTAGAAAACCACTGGTATCAAGGAGCCCTCAGGTGCCTTCCGACTCTCAGATGCTGGGATTTTAACAACCCTCCCACAAAGTAGCTTAAGGCAGAGTGTCCCCCTGAGAACAAGTACATTATGGATGTCAAACCATTTCTGGCTCGCCTACCTGTGCAGCGTGGGATGACACTGTGATGTACATGATGTCCTAAAGCCATATTTGCGGCAGAGACTGCCAGCACACCTCCCCCTGGGCATACTGCTACACTACATTTCCCAGACACTCTTGCGGCTCAGGGGGCTCATAAAGCTGCATTCTGGCCAAGAGAATGTGGAGGAAAGTCATTTGTGCCGCGGCCAGGCCTAACCTACAAAACCTCTCTCCTGCCCTGTCTGCCAGCCAGGTAAAGAGTGGAGGATACCTAGAAGATGATGTGGAGGCACACAAGGGAAAGAGCCTGGGTTCCTGACTGCATGGAGCAGAGAACCCCACCACCCACTTGCACTGGGCTGTGAAACAAATGAGAAATAACCTCTTATTGTGTTAAGCCGCTGAGATTTGGGTTTTATCTCATACAGCAGCTCACATTACTTGTTCTGACTAATATGATGTTTGACCTGTTACTATCCCAGTAGGAAACCCTTTCAGCCCTTTAAAATCTTTTAGTTCTTTCCTGCCTCAGTACATATGTGATATGTCAACACAGGAACATGCAAATCTGAAGATGAATAGATGTGTAGCAACCCACATCTAGGCTGCTGCCTCTCCAGGCTCAGGAGACATAAGAAAAGAGGGGGGACCTGGCCATGGGACAAAGAGAACAAAACGCCGGAAGAGACAAAGTTCTTTAAATTCTGGCACCTGAAGCAGATCATGAAGGCCAAGTGCAAAAATGTTTGAATTAGGGGCCGGCCTGGTGGCGCAAGTGGATAAGTGCGCACGCTCCACTGCGGCGGCCCGGGGTTCGCTGGTTTGGATCCCGGGCACGCACCAACTCACTGCTTGGCAAGCCGTGCTGTGGCGGCGTCCCATATAAAGTAGAGGAAGATGGGCATGGATGTTAGCCCAGGGCCAGTCTTCCTCAGCAAAAAAATAAAAAAAAAAAGAAGGATTGGCAGATGTTAGCACAGGGCTGATCTCCTCACAAAAAAAAAAAAAAAGTTTGAATTAATGTGTGGTTCTACCTCTAAGTTAAAACACTCCTATGTTTATTTACAAATTAAACCAGAACAGTAGGGAGCATTGCAAGCGTCCCAAAAATGGTACTGAAACAAAGTAGCACAGCCATGTCAGATCATGAGGAGATGGTGGCCTGGGTAGGAAGGGGGCCACTAGTCAGGCCAAGCTAGTACAGGGTAGTAACATTTGGGATTTCCTTTTTTGGGTTAAAAGAAGTTGTCTTCACATAGCCCAGCAGCCCCAGGTCTGTTGTAATAGGAATCCTGGCTCTCCCCTCAGGTAGGGGAGCACGTGGCCCAGTCACTCTGAAACTACTAGAAAAAAATGCGCATTTAACCAACATTTATAAAGCTTCTGTCATCTCCAAGCATTGGGCTAGGAACCCTCAAACATTCTCTCGTTTTTGGAGAGTGATGAGCATGACTTGGCCGACAGCCTGAAGACAGATGAGAACTTGCTCGGCAGCAGGAAGTGGACGTGGTGGTCACACCACATGGACCTCCCGACCCCGGGATGCCAGAGAGCAAGCTCAGAGCTTACGGGCTGAGGGGAACGGCATTACAAGAGAAGGCGCTGGGAAAGGGAGAGGAGGAGGTGAGGGGCGATGGAGACGCATCTGTAATAGACCACGGAAGTCTGTAGAAAGAAGCAGAAGGGGACACTCCCAGAAGTCAGCCTCCCAGGGACACGCACTCCAGCCCACAAGTGCCAGCTGATGCTCGCTTGATGCACAGCTTTGTGGGTAGCTTCTCGTGGTCCCTGCTCTCGGGGAGCACTGCAAATGCCAGGGAGTGCTCCAAGAGTATGGGGACTGGAGTTGATCAGCAGCACAAAGAAGATGTGGTTAAGTCAGGCTTCCTTGGTTAAGGGAAAGGACAAACGTCTGATCCCAGAGAAAAGCTGATAATGCACTTATAACCCTCTTTCTAAGCGTGACTCTGATATGTGCAAAATAAAGGTGTTCAAACGGCGTGCTAGTGACTTGTGACACTCTGCGGGGAGAAATGCCCTTCAGTGGCGTGCATTGGCGTGTGATCCCCTCCCAGCCCCAGACGTGGTATCCACGTGTCCAGAGCACAGCGGACCCACGACAGGCACTGTAATATAGAAACCCTTAGGGACACCCAAAGAGAAGACATGCCAACAAACCACACTTAAAGTGTGAATGCCCTAAGACGGCATGAGGGAAAGGCTGTTAGACTTTTTACCCTTCAACATGGAAGAAAATGAAACATCTAGGAAACAGGAGCATGGATTCATGTCCTCTGAAGACAGGATGTGGGCACGGTAGGCCAAACTCCTTGCCTGGCCTGCGAGGTTCCACTGGGCCGGCCCTAACCCTGATGGCTCCCCCAGTCTCACCCTTCCATTGCTCCAGCCACACGCACCATCTTGCCATGGCTTGACCGCTCCACGCTGGGCCCTGACCCAGGGCCTTTGCTCTTGCTGGGCCCTCCACCTGGGAAGCTCTCTCTGCAGCCTTGGCGTGGCTCTGTCCCTCATTCCCTCCAGTCTCCACTCAAGTGTCCGGTCCACAGAGAGGCCTGCTCTGACCACCCTGGCCAAACAGCTCCCTTAGCCTCTATCACTTGTCCTGCTTTAGTTTTCCTCATGACACCCTTACTGTTACGTGTATGTTGTAATAATTGTATTATTTACAAACATACTTATTATATACTACAACTTTGTTTATTTTCTTGTTTATTGTCTAGAATGACACTATCCAACTCGGTAGCCACTAGCCACCAGCCACCTGTGGCCATTGAGCACTTGGAGTAGGGCTAGTCTGAATTGAAGTGTGCTGAAAATGCAAAATACACACCGGATTTTGAAGACGTAGCTTATTTTTTTAATAAAAGAGTGTAAACTGTCTCATTAATAATTTTTATATTAATTACATGTTGAAACAATATTTTGGATTAACCCAATTTTTTGAGTTAACTACAATTTATTATTGAAATTATTTTCATTTGCTTCTTTTTACTTTGTCAATGTGTCTACTAGAAAATTTAAAATTCCACATGTGGCTTGCACCTGTGATTCTCATTCCATTTCCACTGGACAGTGGTGATCTGGGATGAACATTCCACGAGAATAGAGACTTTGTCAGTCTCGTCCTGGTATCTGGAATAGCACCTGGCACATGGTGAGGGCTTTGAACAAACGAGACTCTGTGTTCAGTTGAAAATTTAGCCATGTGCAGTCTCTCCCTCTGCCCTCAACCTCCCTTCCCGCTTCGTACCCCCCCACCCCCCGCCCCGCCACTGGCAGTTCCTTGCCCCAGATATCATCATTACATAGAAACTGACAACCTTCCTGGTCTGTTTACTTAAGCCTCTGTCCTGATTTAGCCCCTTCCTGCTTAGGTTTTAAAACATTTTTAAAATGCTATCTTCTGAAAATAACCTTAATTCTTTTCCAAAATAGTTGGTGCGTTTTGAATGGCCCATCTTATGGACAAATTAGTTAGTCTAATTAACCTGAGACAACACCTGGAAGAAATGGAAAGAAAAACAAACAAGCCAGCGTGCATCACACACAGCAGCTGAGAGCAAAGGCCTGGGGCCCAGAGAGGTGCCACATGCCTGATGAGGACAGGACAGGAGTGAAGAGAGCCAGGGGACGAGCACTGAGAACAAGTCTCTACTTTCCAGATTAGTCCAGGCATGCCCCACTCGGAGCAACTGGCAATGCAGCAAGTACGTCTGCAGAGGAGACACCCTTCCTTCAGTCGCTGCGCAGACCAGTTGAGCCCTCCCGTGTGCCACGTGCCAGGAGACAGCCAGAGCAAAATGGACAAGACGCCTCTCCTCCTGGAGCTCATGTTCTGTCTGTAGGGACAGCAAATGAGCAGAGAAGTACATAAGTATATATATGTATCCTATATCCTTTATTATTGCATGCTCAGAGAAGGGAATCTATGCTCTCAATTTTTAAAACCCACAGCTTAGGGGATAAAGCTGGGCAGTGGAATTTTTTTCGTAGAATAATTTAAGGTTTTTTTACAAATTAAGGATATTCAAGATAAATATCTGGGCCACCACCTAAAGGAGCGTTCAGAATGGGGGTAGATTCAGTCCCAGCACAGTGCCATTGACGCGGGACAGCTTCAAGACTTGTCACACATGTTGCAAGTCGAAACCTAGAAAATGCTAAAATTATATTTCTAGAGAGGAAAAAAATAACTTTTAATACCAGTATTAGCACTGGTACAAAAGTAGTACAAAATGCACCTGCAGCCTTGCTAGAGTTGGTATGATATTTGGCAGAGAATGAAAGAAAAGCAAAACCTGACCCCCCTGGAACAGAACCCGCTAGCCTAAAAAGCCCTGAACTCCACCGCGTTCCAGGGCAGGAGGATGCGCCCGTCTCTTTGTTAGCTCTGAGCACGCCTGAGCATTTTCTGGAAACTGCTGGTGCTGCAGCCCAGATCGCCTGCTCTGAGCTGAAAGGAGACGGAAACAAACTGAGCAGAGGCTTTGATTTAAAATTCTGCCGTGGCTGCAATCCCAAGGCAGGGGGCCCGTCAACAGGACTGTTTAGCTAAGGACAACTGACTAACCTATAATGCAAGTGTTCAGGCAATGAGTAATCAGTCCATGGTTGATAAATTATACAAGAGCAAATTTATGCTCGTTGAGTTTCTGTAGGTGGAATGGGTGTGCTATTCACAAGTGGTGTCTTAGTAAAGAAAGAAACACGTTTTTGAAGAGTGAGGATTTGTATGGGTATACATGTAATTATATCATCTGTGTTCATTCATCCGTTCACCAAAGATCTAGTAGTGCCTTTTAGAAATTCAGTGTTGGGGATGCAAAAATTAACAAAATATGGTCCCTGACTTGAAGAAAACTACAGTCTAGTTTGAGAGATCAACACGTGGGCAAATAACTGTGGTACCACGTAGTAAGTGCTAACAGAGGTTTGGACGCTTTATTATGGGCTCAAAGAAGAGAAAATAATGAATCCTGCCTGGCAAGAGAGAAGAGTCAGGGAAGGCTCCTGGAGGAGAGGGTATTTGAGTGGCGTATCAAAGGGCGAGGAGGAGTTTACCAGGCAGAAGAGGGGAGGGCGGGGATTCAGGCAGAGGAAGCAGCACACAAAAACCTCACACGCAAAAGCAAGCATGTGGAAGCACAGGGTGTCCTCAGAGAACCGCAGTGTGAGAGGAGGAAGGAAAGCAGGGGTAGAGATGAAGTAGGTTGTGGCCTTGAGGGTTAGTTGGACATAGGTTCACCTGTCCTCAAAAACAAATGTCCCCAAATATAAGTGGCTTTAAAAATAAAGATGTTTATTTCCCTCTCACATAGTAGTATGGGCATGAGCAGTCCAAGGCTGGCAGGAAGACTTCTCAGTGTCAGAGACCCAGGGTCTTTCCAGCTTGGTGCCCGCACTGCCCAGGGCTTGGCCCTTGGCCACATGGTCCAACAGGGCTCACCCTGCCTGTCTACATTCTACCCTTACCACCTCTGAATTCTACCCTACCTACAGTCACAGTGCACTCTCCATTCACCCCTACCACTTTTACATATTCACACTCTGTATTCTGGCTGGAAGGGCAAAGGGGAGGACCAGTCTCTTCCCCCTAAGGGTACAACTTGGAATTTGCACCTATTACTCACGTGGCATAATGACATGATAGACCTAGCTGCTGCAAGGAAGCCTGGGAAATGTAGTTCTTGTTCTGGGCAGCCATATGGGCAGCCATCTGCCAAGGTTAAAGTGGGAGGTCCTATTTCCATGAGAAAAAAGGGGAGAGTGGAGACTGGGAGCCCTTAGCTGCCTCTGCCATTGCACGTGGTACCAGTGATCTCTCGAATGCCTTTGGGAAAAAGTGATGTAACAGGCTTGCATTTTCTGCTTGATTTATTCTGACATGCTGGCTTGATAGTGATTTTTTGATTTCTCAAAACTAGAATTGTTAGGATGTGAGAGGTTACTCAATGCCAGCAAGTAACAAACAAGTACAGACCCAATCACATGTGCTTTGTAAGCACAATTTCGGACATTATCTTACAGGACACTTTCTAACATCTCTGGCCTGCCAAAGTTTTAAGAGCTCCACTGCATCCAGGTTGCCCAAGTATATAGAAGCAAGTCATGAGCACATTTCCACTGCCCCAGACTAAGGAGATGGAGTAGACTTCTAGGCAGGGGGATGGGGGGCAGGGAAATGAGGCAGATGTCAACTTTCACTGTCTTGAGTCTGAATCCCAGTATATCGCTTAGGGTGCTACTTGGAACAGATCACTTATTTTTCTTGGCTTTAACTACCTCATCTGTAAAATGGGGATAATGATGATTCTTCTTGCCAAATTAAATGGGATACTCTATGTGACCCACAGAGGGAACTCAACACCTGCTTGCTTTCCTTCTAGTTCAGGACATCAACTGTCAGGATAGAAACCACACCTCAAGAAAGGATTTCAAAACCTGGTTTCTTGTAAAGAGATGAGGGCGTCTTTACAAGAAATCTTAACCGAGTGATCAATCCACCATGAGTAATAAAGGGACAAAGTGACATCGTGTGCCACCTGTTGTGTTGCATTGGGGACGGAGCATCACTTCTATGATATTCCTTCCAAAAAACACATGACCTGAATTTAGTCATGAAGAAACATCAGACAAACTCAAATCGAGAAATATTCTGGAAAACAACTGGCCTGGACTCTAGAAATGTCGATGTCATAAAACACACACACATACACATGCACACACAAAGGAAGAGGAACTAGTCTAGCTTAAAGGAGATGAATAAGCATAACAAATGAATGCAAATATTTGATTAAATGTTCTATCAAAGAAATCCATAAAGGATAACATAAGATGTTATGAAGGGAAAGAATCTGAATTACATATAAGAGGGTTAACTGAAGGCAATATATTCAAGAGAGCTTCTGGATCCTGCTGATCTGTTGCTTCTTCCAGTGACAATGTAGAAAATAAATATAATATTTACATAAAAAAAGAAAAAAGCGAGGTGTCTTAGTCCATTTGGGCTGCTATAACAAAGTACCATAGACGGGGTGGCTTATAAACCACAGAAATTTATTTCTCACAGCTCCGGAGGCTGGAAGTGCGAGGTCAGGGTGCCGGCACAGTGGGATTCTGCTGAGTGCCCTCTTTGGGCTGCAGATGGCTGACATTTCATTGTGTCCTCACAAGGAAAGAGAGTGAGCTTGAAACCCAGGACGAAGGAGTTGGTTTCCCTGGATTAGGGTGAAACCGTGCCTGTACCCACAAAGATAACAAAGTAACCAAAGTTTCTGAGCTTGTTTCGCAGAACACCAGGCTGATACAAGAGCAGCTTGCTGACAGCCCCCCAGTCTGACTAAGCATCGTGCAGGTGCATTGAGGAGCTAAAATGACTGATTGTAAGATTCACAGGTCACAGACCTGTGACATGCATCCACCGCATGCAACACATAGAACCCCCTGGAATTTGCACATGTGACCCATGAAGAAATATGAAAGCCAGTTGCCCCTGAACAGAAGACTCTTAGAACTTCAGCCCCAAGGCCACATGCTCCCCTCCCCGTCTTATTCTCACAATGTGCTTTGGAAAAACGCTTAGAACTACACGCATGCAAGCCAATCTGTAACCGGTAGAAAGAATAACTTGTTAGCAGAAACTTTGTGTCCTCTGCCCAAACTGTCCCTTCTGTCCCAGATAAGGAAGTAACTAAGGTTTTCTTAGATTCCTCAGAAATGTTGCATTCAGCAGATTCGCTAAGGAGAGGTGCCCAACATTCTGTGGTCATGCGTCCCCTGACACTCCTGAGCCCCCTTCTCAACCCCATTTGCCTTATATAAGTCATTTCCAAATCAGTTCCCCTTTACGATGTTTTTTTAGGACAATAGTCCACCATCTTCTGATTTGCTAGCTTATCACTTATTAAATTTCTTCCTCTACCACCACCTGCTTGGCCTTTTATCTTGTGGCGAGCAGATTGAGCCCTTGCTCTGTAACAAGCTCACTCTCCGGGGTCCTTTTATAAGGGCTCTAATCCTGTTCATGAGGCTCCACTCTCATCGCCTAATCACCTCTCAAAGGCCCTACCTCCTAAAATCATCACATGGGTAACTAGGTTTCGACATATGAATTTGGTGGCACACAAACATTCAGTGCATAACACAAGGGTCCCTTGCTCACAGTGGGCCCAGCACTGTCAGTGGGCAGTCGATGAAGCAGAAGGAAAGAGAGAGCTGTCAGCTTCACCCCTCCCTTGTGGACATCATCAGGTTTGTCACTGATAATAGCACATAAAATAAAGTTCAGAAGCTGAGGCAGAAAAGTAAGTGGACAGCTGTCTTGTAAAATATGTTCACACAAACTTGAATTTCCACCAGTGAGATCAAAAGCCATCAAGCGGCCGATGACAACAAGTCAGGATTCTGGCTGCTGGAGGTGGGAGGAGCTGGAAGAACCAAAGAATGCAAAGGCCTCTGGGGGGATTTGAAATCTTTCCCTTTATTTTTCCATTTGTTTGTAGAAATCGTTTACTCTCATGCAGCTGGATGATGGAGTAACCCACAATTCAGCTTCATTAGAGAGGACTTCCCATTTCAGGGATTAACTGCAGGTGCAGATGACGTAGAATTGCCTGATCTAGTAGCAGTGAACATTGATTGCCAAAATGATCCAAAGAGGACTCAAATAAAAAATATATATATTAAGAAAACACAGGTGAAAGCTCTCAGCTTTCCAACTAGCAATATCTTGAGTATAGTAGGTAGCCAACAAATTTTACATTAAAAATAACTTAAGAAACTTCTAGAATGTGACATATGTCGATGGAGACGTTATATATATATATATGTGTGTGTGTATATATATATATATATATATATACACACACACACACACTTTATTTTCCATATGGAAGTTACTTTGGAGAACTCGCTGTTAAACAATTGGCACCAATACAGGAAGATCCATAGGCAAACAGGAGGACCCATCCATTCGCTGGAGTTGGAATCATTTACACTGTCTTTAGGTTTCTATCTGCAGCCTGTCTGTGACATGGGTACTACACGTTCCTGGTTTTAAACAGTAGATTCGAAGTAAACAATGCTGGCACAGTGATTTTACAGAGGAAGAAAGGGAACTTGGTCTACTTCAGTTCTGTTGTTCTTTTATGTGATGACTTGGAGTTTTATTTCTGTTTAAAATTGAAAACACTGAAATCAAATGTGAATGCAGTATACATTCCCCCTTTAAAATTAATGTAATTAAAACTAGTAACCATTGCTTTTTCGTTTTTTGTATGTGTGTGTGCTGACATGATTTTATATACAAAGTTCAATAAAAGAAAATTTTCGCTGTCTGCAGCATTTCTCTTCTAGACGCTCTTTCTTAATTATTATTATTATTATTTCATGATTATTATTGGAAAGAATTTTGTTGTATAAAGAGAGAGATGTTAAAAAAGGTATTCTTTTGAGGGCCTCTCATGTTAGGTATGCCAGGTAGAGGCAGTGGACGAGCACAGACATCTATTTTGCTTCCTTCCAAATCCCCTTTTAGATGATAATAAAAGAGTGTCTTTAAAGTCACAAAGTGCAGGGAGAGGAGACAGGAAAGGAGACAACTGAAACACAACTTTGGAAGCTGGAGCACAGATGAAAGAACTCAACCAGATTTACCCTGCAGAATCCCCGAAAGCCCAGGACTGGGAGGCACTAGACGCCTCTGGAAGTAGGGGTGACGATGACAGAGATGAGGAGGATTTGAGGAGAGTCAGATGCTCAGACCTTCTCCCTACTCTGCGTGGTGATTGCCCTTCTCCCAACCCAGCAAAAGACAAGAGATTTATTTGTGCTGAAGGATAAATAAGTGAGTCTTCTGGACTGGGGGACAGCAGGCACAATTGAAGTCAATGTTGTCATATTGAAAAAATGAAAAGATTTTGTCTTGTGGGTGCTGAAATCCCCAGCCCTCTTCCTGACAGTTGCCAGAAGTCTTCCCCTTGAGGCAGGAGACTGGTGGATCTTTCTGGATGGAATCTGAGGGTGACACTGGGACGTCCTTGACTAAATGACCTAGCCACACCACCCTGCAGTGAAGCTCAAAGTTGACAGACCCCGCCATGCCCTTGGTTTCCAATCTGCATTTTAGTGTTCCATTTCTGAATGTGAAGAGAACAACATCAGAGGAGAAGCTCTAACATGAAAGATGGAGACCAAAATGCAGGTGGAGACGGACCAAGATGGAGACAAATAGAGAATGGTGATCTGGAGAAAACAGAGATTTTTGCAAGAAGAAGAATACCTAAAAAATAAAGATCATTAATATCCTCAGAAAGATAAAAGAAGATATTGCAACCATGAAACAGACAGGACGTAATAAAAATTAACATTCAGAGAACAGAAAAGAATTCTTGGAAATTAAAATCCTGATGGCTGGAATGAAAAGCTCAGTAGAAGGGTTAGAAGATAAAAGTAAGAACAGAAAGTAGACAAAAAGACACTTGGAAAATAAAGGAGAAAACTTAAGAAAATTATAGGAGTGGTCCATGAGGCTAAGTGTTCAAATAATAGGAGTTGGGAAAAAAGAGAGCAGGGGAGACAGGGGGTGGGTAGGGGGAGATGGGGGAGGGGTCTAAGAAACTCCCCAGAAGATGAGTTTTCACGTTGTAAGGACCCACCAAGTGCCCAGTGAGCCACACCATCTCGAAACCTTAGGATGCTGGAGACAGAAAAGACCCTACAAGCTTCTAGAGACAGAGAAAGCCTGAGAAGAAAAGGTGAAGAAGCAGACTGACAGCATGGCTGCTATAGTTTCCCATTGCTGCCATAAAAACAGCCACAAATCTAATGACTTTTAACAACACACATGTAGTATCTCGCAGTGCTGGAGGTCAGAAATCCCAAATGGATCTTACTGGGCTGAAGTCAAGGTGTAGGCTGGGCTGCCTTCCTTCTGGAGACGCAGAGGGGAGAACCTGTTTCTTTGCCTTTTCCAGCTTCTAGGGGTCGCCTGCATTCCTTGGCTCGTGGCTCCTCGATCTTCAAAGCCAGCAGCATAGCATTTTTGAGTCTCTCTCTCTCTCTCTGCTCCTCACCACTCTGACCTCTGCTTCCACCCTCACATCTCCTTCTCTGCCTCTCCTGCCTCCCTCTTATGAGGACCCTTGTGATTATATTGAACCCATCAGGATAATCTCCCTGTTTCAAAATGTTTAATTTAATCACACCTGCAAAGTCCCTTTTGTCATGTAAAGTAACAGGCTCACAGGTTCCAGGGAGTATGGCCTGGGTGTCTTTGGGGTGGGGGCGTTTTTCTGCCCACCATAGCACTGGACTTCTAAAGAGCTGCACTGGAACCTAGCTGGCAGGGGAGCAGCCCTCTCCATCCTGCAGAAAACTATTTCCTGCCTGGAAGGTTTCTCTCCTCAGACTAACTATCAACCAAGTATGACGGTAAAGTAAAGACATTTTCAGATGCGAGTTCTCAAAAAATTGACCTCCCACACATCCTCTCTCAAAGCTCCTGGAGGATGTTTTCAAACAAATGACTCAATCATGAAAGAGAAAGCATTGAGGATACAGGAAATAGTGGATCCAATGTGGGGACAAAGGGAAGAGTATCAGCAGGATGATGTTAGGAGACATTCCAGAAGGACAGCTGTGAAGCAGTCCAGATTGGAGTGGTTCGGAAGATTCCAGAAGAGACTTCCTTGGGAAGATGAACTGACAGTATGTCTGCTGCGTGTGACTGTATAGTGAGGAAATACAGACAATAGGTAAAGAGTTTGGGATGGAATTAGCAATAAGTTCATGGAAAACCAAGCACATGAAAATAGAAGACAATTATTAACTCCAAGGAAAACAAAAATTGTGCAGGAAAAGAAAATTTAATTAGAGTTTACTACATTTGGCAGTTTCATAGCTGCGAATAGTATTTCCGTAGCCCTGATAATGTGAATACTGATAATCAGTTTAACCAAAATCAAGCTAAAACAACAATGGGAGGGAGGGGGATGGGCCAGAGGAGGAAGCAGGGCCAAACTCGAGTTTCAGAGTGGGGATCACTAGATACGGAAGAAAACTGAAAAAACAAGAAAGAGAAATATGAGAATGTTATTTAGGAATCTGGAGGCACACACCAAGATAATCATCCAGAAGAGGTGAAGGTGAAGGGAAATTCGGATGGAGAAAGAGAAATGGGGGCTTTTCAGTACAAGGGCAGCAAATTTTTTCTGCAAAGAGCCAGATGGTGAATGTCTACAATACAAAACGTATCTGGGTTCGTTTTCTAGGCTGCAAAACAAATGATCACAGATGTAGTGACTTAAAACAACACCCGTTTATTGGCTCTCAGCTCTGTGGGTTAGAAGACTGGCACAGCATGACTGGATTCTCTGCTCACAGCTCACGTTCCCAAAATCAATCATGCCGGCCTCTTATCTGGAGTCTCTGGGGAAGAACCTACTTCCATTCATCTGGGATGCTGGCAGAATCCAGTTCCTTGTGGTCTAGGACAGAAGGCCCCATTTCTGGCCATGGGGCCCCCTCTATTTTCAAGCCCTCTTGTGCCTCCAATCTCTCTCTACTTTCCTCTTCTGCTTTTAAGGCCCGTGTGCTTACACTGGGCCCATCCAGATAATCCAGGATAACTTCCTTATTCTAAGGTCAACTGATTAGTAACCTTAATTACATCTGCAAAGCCCCTTTGCCAAGCAAAGGAACATATTCATAGGTGTAACACCAAGTGGTGAAGGTCACGTGGCTTTGGGAGGCATACCATCTCTGTCACACAAACTCAATTCTGCCACTCTAGTGCAAAAGCAGCCATCAACAATATGTAAACAAATATGTACACATCTATATAAACGCTTAGGGAAAGAACTGGAAGAAATCCAGTTCTTAAAATCCTGAACTGTTATCACCTCTAAGGAGGGGGTGGGGCTGAGGCAGGGCAGGCGGGAACTATTCACATTTGTTCTGCATACTCACCTCTCTTCTGATCACTTCACAATGTACTGATTAAGTAATAAAAATTAAAAATTGTATGTGTATAAAAATATACAAATATTAATATATGCCTAAAAAATTC